GATGGAGCAGTGCGAGTCTTGAGCGTCGTTCGAGTCTAGGGGCATGTTGAATTTGAGTGACACTATCAGATGAGAGTAATTTCCCCCGCACCGGGGCTACCAGGCCGCGCCTCGCTCTGCTCTGTGGGCTCTTTTAAAACCGATGTTGATAGCCTTGCGTCTTGTTTCGAGTTGATCCCGAACCATGTTTAAGTGACCAGACGCGCATGCCTTGCAGCTGAAGGCCGTGGTGCGAGCAGTCCTGATGGTGTCTTGCCTTTTGTTGAACGATTGCGAGAGACACACCCGGAATGAGATAGAGTCAAAGTGAGACAGGCGGGGTAGAGAGAAAGAAGGCAAGTCGCGATGATAGCAAGCCACATAGAAACAACAAGACGAAAGGAAGATAAAAGTACCACAAGTAGGCATGAAAAGAAATGCGAATTTTCAATGATTTTCGCGAATTTTTCCGAGTTTTATTTTTATTTTTTTCGAGCTGACGAGGAAGAGGAGAGAGAGAGAGAGAGAGAGAGAGAGAGAGAGAGAGAGAGAGAGAGAGAGAGAGAGCTCGAAAGTGTGAGAGAAATACATTGCGTTGTTGTCGTGCGTGATGGCCGAGGCCGCGGAAGCGGCGTCGCCAGTGGGTGAAGCAGCAGGCAGTGAGCATGACGAGCCCGTGGCAAGGCCTGCTCGGCGCAAGGCAATCGATCTGAGCGCCTTTCACCCTGGCCAGCCGGCATCAGAGGTGACCCAGCTCAAGTAGGTGGCGGTTGCTTGTCAGGTCTCGTTGCCCCGGAACTTGCGCCTGTTCTTCTCGATCCTAGCCGCGCCTGGACTCAAGCATTGCATTGGGCCTGCTAGGGTGACGAGCCTCAAGGCCAAGCAGCTCGAGGCCCTGGACTTGGCGGCCTACACCAAGCTCACCGACTTGGATCTTAGCGGTTGTCAGCTGAAGGTGGGTCACGTTTCTCGATGCACCTGTGGTTGGATCCCTTTTTATTGGTTGCAGGCATCGCAGCCGCGATTTTTCACAAAAGTTCCCCCGGTTGTCCCTCTAGTCGCTTGAGCTGGCAGCCCTACCAAAGCTAACGCACCTGGACGTTTCGGACAACGATTTGCAATGGCTCAAAGGCCTTGTTTCTCTCCCAGCCTTAAAAAGCATTCACTACACTGGCAATCCTCGCATCCCGGTGCGTTAGCAGCCATATTATGCCCTTTGCAGCGGTATCATGACTTGCAAGCTCACCATACAGTGTTGTCCTTCGCTTTGGCCGCTACACTTGTCCAGGCGTTCTTCCCATTCTATCTGGCTTCTAGGCTGCCGGCTTTGCGGACGATCAACAACAACGTGAGAGCAATGATTCACGTCTGCACCTGTAGTTCTTTAACCTTTTCTCCATGCGCACTGTGACCTATCCCGTCTCACCGTTTTGAAGCCCACATCCATGCTGTTTCTTGTTCGCTCCTAATCCACCCCACCGTGGTACTGCTGGCATGCACGCACAGCCCCTCGGGACCACCCGCAGCATGGCCGAGCGCGTCGCGCGCGATGTTGACCGTCAAGTTGAGCAAGCCTATCAGAAACTCGGACTTCAAGAGTCGTCGGAGCACCAGGACCCAGAGGTATGTCTGCTTTTTGGAAGTAATGCCCCTGTCTCGTCGCATCTCACGTCTGTGTCATGGCATGGCTTTAGGCCGTGCGTGCTGCGCTGCGCAAACACTTCGCGGCCAAACTAAACCCCACTGATAATATGAAGGCGGGCTATGAACGACACATGTTATCACGCCTCATTGATCGCATGCCTGGAGGTCAGCCTGTATGCCACTCCCAACGTGTCTGCCATTTTGCAAGGCTCTTGCCTCGCTTGCTCCTACTGACCATGACCGCGCTCCAACTCGTCCTACCCAGCTCTTGAAACCATTTTGTCACGTGCACACGGTCGAGCTCGCGCCTCAGCTGCCAAAACCGCAGCCACCGAAGATGGGAGCCCAGCAGCCAAACGCAGCGCCACTGGTGCCGGCAGCGCTGGACAAAAGTCGACGTCACGAGGTGCAGGTCGTCCACGCAAGCCTCTGCCAGTGGATGAGAATGGCAACCCAATACCCAAGCGGGGCGTGGGTCGTCCTCGAAAGCCGCCGCCGGTGGACGAACATGGGAATCCCATTCCAAAGCGCAAAGTGGGCCGGCCTCGCAAACCGCCACCAGTGGATGAGAACGGGAATCCCATCCCAAAGCGCAAAGTGGGTCGCCCACGCAAGCCACCGCCAGTTGATGAGCATGGCAATCCAATTCCAAAGCGTCGGGTCGGGCGACCTCGCAAGCAGCCTGAACTCGACGAGCAGGGCAATCCTATACCCCCGCGCCGTGCTGCACGCCGGTCAACGTCCAAAGCTGAGAGTGCACCAACCACTGACGGTGAGGCAGCCTCGGGCACGACGACAGAAAACACTTTGGCTGAGCCGAATGGCGCCAAGGCTCCAACCAAGCGACGTAGTAGAGCCGCAAAGACTGCCGTTGACGGTGATGCTGCGCCGAGTTTGGCACCGCCACCCCCGACTGAGCCTCAGATTCTAGACATGGCCGGGCCAGTCTCGCGCATTCCCATGCCAGATGCAGCCGCAGAGCCAGTTCCCGTCGTCCCACTCGATCCCGTTACCGGCTTGCAGTTGCAACGCGCGTTTCGCATGGTAAGAAGGTGCCAGCGCAGCCAGGATTTGCGATGAGCAAGTATTTCCTCGTGGCTTTAGCCCTGCTCGACAATCGTTGCCTGCGTTTGCTCACGTTGTCCTCCCACTCAATCATGCCTACGACTACGCCAGCATCACGAAGACGATGCCAGTGTGCTCGCAGCCAAGCATGCGTGGGGTGTGGCTTGTGCGCCTCCCGAAGATCCTCGCTGTACGTTGATTATTATTTTTTATTTGTTTTGTTTGGGTGCTCAATCGTGGTGCCAAAGCCTAGTCTCCCCTAGCATTGCTTCCTCTGGGTTTGTACCAGGTGCCACACTGATGAGATGGCTTGATTGCATGTTGCTGGGTTGCGTACTTGCTGGTTGTGTAGATCGCACCGTGGCCGCCTCGGTTGGTGGCAGTTTTGTTTGCCTGGTCGATATGATAGCGCAGCGCGTTGTACAGCGATATCACTTCCCCAACGAGGTTGGCCATGTATCCATCTCGGGGCTTTCCATCTCCGGCAAGGGCGCATCCTTGTTTGCTAACGCTCACAACCCCGACAATATCTTGGGGTTACTCTGCGCTTAGGACTTTTACTGTTGTGCATGGAGCTACATTCCAGAGCTGCAAAGCAGCATTTTAATTGCGGGTGGTTCGTGCCCGAGTCCTGGCGCGTATTTGGGTGCAATCTTTTCAGTATGATGCAGTTGACTCTTTCATGCCTTCCATTGCGCTCGTAGGTCTGCAAGGTGTGCTTCACATAATATCTCCGGATAAGAATGAATGCTACGAAATGCTCGGCACGACCGCGGAACCCATTCACACGGTGGTTGTCCACCCTCGCAGCCCTCGCCACTGCATCAGTGAGTCCTCTTGCAACCGAGGAACCCGCGTCATGGCAGCAATTAGCGTAGGCCCACAGCATGTCCAAGTCATTTTCATCACTTTGGGGTCGTAGGTGCGGCGGAAGATGGTGACGTCACGCTGTGGGGACTGCCGATGCCGGACGAGCCGTACGACCTTCAAGCCTGGTATGCTCAAGTTTTACTTCCCTGCGCACGCTTCAACACGTTCCTTGTGTCAGCGCTGCCCCGTCTACTGCTTCAAGTCGGGTCGAGCCATTGACCTTGCGCTGATTGGACCGTTCGTTCCATCAATAGGACTCATGATTTGGATAAGGAGTGTCATTCGGTGGCTGTGTCGCCGGACGGCGAGCTCCTCGTTGCTGCACTTCACAGCGGTGACATGCAATGCTATAAACTGGATATCGCAAAGCCGGCCTCCTTCTTGAAGCTTGCGTGCACAATCCCGCCGCCGCCCGTCGAGGCCGTTGACACAGTGGCCTTTTTGTCCAAGCGTATCCTGGGTGCGTTGCTCGCATATCTTGCAGTCTCACATCACCTGTGTTGAACAACTTGCGGGCGTTGTCGATGATAATTATACGAGTGAGGAGGCCATGCCAGGGGGAAGAGCATCGCTGGCTCATTGTCATTGTCATCTAACGTGCTCTTGTTTCCAACATATCATTGCTGCGCGAGCAGTTACGCGCGTGCCTGGCTCGGCAAGAATGAGCCTATTCAAGATATCCGACGACGCATCGGCTACTGAGCCGTGCGGGGACATTGACGTTGTTCCACTTCCGCAGTATTTTGTTCGCTTTTCTGTCATTCCAACCAATCAAGGTTTGTAGATGCTTATTGAGGCGTCTGGAATTGTATTGCTCTCGCATGTTCGAGGCAAGCTTGCTCTTGACCTCACCGTGGGTTTGTGTGGTCATGCATTTTTGCTTGGGTCGACGCGTACGGGTAGCCGGTGTGGTGCAAGTCATGGTCCCAGGTCCTCGAGGAATGGTCCAGATTGGCACCGTCTCTGGGCTCGATACGAGCTCACCGTCGGCGACAACGCAGCACGTGCTGGTGCACGAACAGCTAGGCGCAACCATCTTACCACGACAAATGGCAGTTTCATCGGCCGCTAAGCGCCTGGTAGCTGCTTGTGAAGCCAACTACGTCGCAGTCAGCGAGCTAAACTAACGTGGCTGAGCCGCGACGAGCACGCCAACATGACGGTTATTTCATTCAAGACAGGGCCCTGCTGAGCGTTCCTCTCCTGATGTGTGCCGTTGTCTTGCGGGCGTCTGCATGTCTACTATTGTGTCCTGGGTCAAGCTGTGTTGGCTTGCTTTCAAATGAGATCAGTTACTGATTCGGGCCTTTGGCGCTTGATCAAACTGAAAAAAACAAAAAAACCATGGCATTTGATTTCTTTTTTTCCTTTTTGATTTTGTTTTACCAAGCAAAGGGGTCAAGAGGAAAGTCAACCATGAGATCAGATGAGAATTCATCAGGTCAATTCAAAAAGCCTTTGCAGTTTTCTGCGCCACAATAGCAGGGAATTTTCTCGTCCTCCATGGGGAACTGATAGTCGTAAGTGATTTCCTGGCCCTCGCGAATATCGCGTTTGCTGTAGATAACAATGTGCTTCTCCTGCCCAATAGTTACTGTCTGCGCCCAGGCGTTGGGCTAAGTAGCACACAGCAGGATAATACGTCGTGAGACTCAAAAACCTTTGGATGAAACGGGGTGTTCGGAATTGAGCGCGGTAAACCAACATCGCAGCTGTGATTCATGAAGCGGGCAATGTGCCCGCGTCGTGTGGCATCAATAACGTTGAGCTCGTCAATGCGGAAAAGGTACGAACTAAAAGCGCCCCCACAACATCATCAAAGACAATCAAAGACAAAGAAAGCAGCAAAATCGAAGCGAGGGCATGGTCTGGGGGTTTTCGGGTTGCAAGAGGTGTGGAGAAACAAAGGACGGGCTGGTTGACAGCAGGTGCGCACCTGCCAATTTTGACTTGAGTATAACGTCGCTCGCGCTCGTCGGCCACCGACTGGCGAATCACCTCGCCCACATATTCAATGACAACCTCATTGGCCGGGATATCCTGACGCCATGATGGGAGCAAGGAAGAGCAAGGTATAAAAACGACCAAAATGCAGGTTGTGAGACATGCTCGAGGGCAGAACAAGGCAAAGACGATTGCCTTGAGGGGGGCGCATTCACCGAATCAACCAACCTCCATCGCAAAGAGACCCCATGCATGGATTGTCGATCGACCAAATGCAAGCTTCTTGCTGCGTGTCTGCGGATATGGATGCGGTGACAAAAAAAAAAACAAAACAAAAAAAAAGAAAAAAACAAAAAACAAAAAAAAAAAAAAAAAAAGTCAAGGGATGGTGCAATAGCTCGGCGCATCTGCGATCAAAGGCAATACCTTGAGTTGCTGAATTAGGCCCACTTCCGCAGCCAAATTCATGTTTCCGGTCGAGGCCAGGGCGCTCGTCACGTGACGAGCCTGCCGCCGATTGTCACGCGTGGCGGTGCGGGCAACCTTTTGCACCTGTTGACGGCCTGCAGCGGGTCACGGTTTGTGAGGATGAGCGGCGAGGAAACGGTCATGGGGCGGATGTATGGGTAACAAGCAATGGACAGAAAAGAAGAGGCAGAGGAACAGGGCGAGCCTACCGGTAGCCACATTGGCACGCTTGGTTTCGGCTGAAACAAAGTAGTAGCCTTCGGCACGGGCGCATCCAGTAGCATGGGGGATGACCTTGGGGACTTGGGGCGGTTCTGAGAGTTCGTTCGGCTCGGCAGTTGGCTTGTGCTCGACAGAAGTCGCGATGAGCTGCGACTCAGCGTCAAGACTAGCAAGTTCGGCACGCAAAGCGCGCAGCAAGGCTGGAAGATATTGCGTGGCATACGCAGGAGCATGGTCCTTGGCCTTGCGATCGGTTTGCGCGAAGAGTGCTGCAATCACAAATTCCACGTCCTCGGCTGTTGCCGAGGCCAACCACGTTTCAATTTCCTGCTGGGCCTGCGCCAAAGCCTCTGGTTGATCCAGGGAAACGGGGGTACGCAACGGCTCGTCCAAGGCTTTGTCCAACGCTTCTTGGGCGGCTGCTTCGGCTTCTCGAGCGGCTTTGTCAGCTTCTGATTCAAGTTCAGCCTCTTGGGCGCGACGCGCGGCATCAGCGCGGCGTTGCGTTAGCCGTGCCAGCTGCTCAGATGCGTCTTCGTTGTCTGGCATGCTGTCTGCATCGCCATCATTATCATCCTCATCCACGTCCATGTCCTGCTCGTCCTCTGAACTGGATGAAATGTAGTCCCGGCGCTGCGGGGCGTCCTCATCCTCCGATGACTCATCGTCGGACTTGTCCGAAGACACAAGACCTGACGTAGGTGATAAGGCACATGATCAGCACCAGGTGCGGAAAAGCAAGGTGGTCGCTAAACATGGGTGAAGATGCGGGAGCAAAAGGGGGTGGGAGGGTGGCGTGTGCCAGAACGTACGACGGCGGGGCGGCGATGGGTTTGGATGGTAGCCCGCGGGCAAGAGTCCAACAGAGTGGAGATCTTTTTGCTCCACGCTGCGTGCAGCTTCATCGGCTTGTTCTTGACGTTGGCGCTTGCTTTCGCGACGATGGCGGCTCCAATCGACATGCATGGCAATCAAGTCGTCAATTTTTGGCTCAACCACCTGCGGGGAGTAGCGAAGCAAAAAAAAAAAAAAAAGAAAAGAAAACAGACCAAGGCAAAACATCATCCATGAGTGAATTGTGCAGTCACAATGAGAAGGTGGGCGAGCACAAGAGGCTGGGAGGAAACGAGAGGGGTTTACCTCGCGGTGCAGTGTGCGAGTAACAGCACGCAAGACGTTGCTAAAGAGTGTCTTGCGGACTTTGGCAAGGAGGTGGCGTCGAAATGAAGCGGCACGCGCTTCAGCCACGGCTCGAGGGTTGACTGGGGGGGACGCCGGGCGGGCAACTGCGGTATCACCCAAAAAGGCAAGGGCAGGAGATCGATGCTGTGTGTAGGCCGCCTCGGCAAGTGCTGCACTGGCAAAATGCACAACAGCGCTGGGCGGATCGCCGTGCAGAGTCACACGCAGTGGCTGCCAAGCACGAAACGCGGCAAGCAGGAGTGCTTCTTGGCAGGCGTGTGGCGCCAGCTCGGTCAAGCGCAGACAGGTGTGGCGAGGCTCAAAGCGAGCCGGGGCGACAACAGGAGGGGCGGAGCT